AGCAGCGCCGCGGCGCGGCGCCGCGAGATCTCTGCAACCATTGGCAGCGAGAAAAACAAACACGCCTCCCAGTGGGGCGGGCTTTTTATTTTTTGAAAAAAGAAAATAAGTTTGCGCCGCGCATGTCGCGCTCGATGTCGGTCTGCTCCGGGGACTGCTCAATGTCGCGCTCGCCCCGCGCACGGCGCACCGAGGACGACGCCCCGCCCACGGACTGGCTGGGCGAGCTGCCGCCGGAGCTGCACCTCCGCATCCTCGAGGGCGTCGACGACTTCTCCGACTGCGCCGCCTTCAGCCTCGCGTCGCCACGCCTCGGCCTCCTCGCCCTGCGCAGCGGCCTGGCGCGCTTCAAGGACCCCCTCTTCGCCGTGGCGATGCGGCTGCTGCTCATCCAACGCTTTGCCGGTGCCTTCGTCACGGTGTCGGCAACGCTGAACGAGGGCACCCTTCGCGCCTACACCGCCGACCGCCGCGCCAGCGCCGACCACTTCCCGTGGCTTGCGAGGGTGAGCCCGGCGCTCTGCCTCTCGTCGGAAGTGACGGGTGCTGGCGCGAGTCGCGCCAAATACTGGAGACTGCGGCGCGGCGACGCGAATGGCGCGAATCTGCGGCGACGCCTCTTGCAGTCCGGCCAGGTGCAGCACTACGAGGGCGAGAAAGGCGCGGAGCGGAAGGTGCGCATGGAGACTGCCAACGGCAACGTGCTGCACTACGAGGGCGAGCGGGGTGCGGAGCGGCTGGTGCGCACGGTGTTTACCAGCGGCAACGTGCATTACTACGAGGGCGAGAAAGGCGCGGAGCGGAAGGTGCGCGCGGTGTTTACCAACGGCCAGGTGCAGCACTACGAGGGCGAGAAAGGTGCGGAGCGGCTGGTGCGCACGGAGTTCGCCGACGGCGAGGTGCAGTACTACGAGGGCGAGAAAGGCGCGGAGCGGAAGGTGCGCGCGGTGTTTACCAACGGCCAGGTGCAGCACTACGAGGGCGAGAAAGGTGCGGAGCGGCTGGTGGGCACGGAGTTCGCCGACGGCGAGGTGCAGTACTACGAGGGCGAGAAAGGTGCGGAGCGGTGTGTGCGCGTAGTGCCACGCGCGAGCGAGGACAAGGCGGCCGCGGAGAAGCGGTACCAGGCCATGCGAGTCGCAGAGCTGAGGAGCGAGTGCGAGCGCCTCGGCTTGGCCACCACCGGCGTCAAAGCAGCGCTCGTGGCGCGCCTCCTGGCGGCCTGAGCCTGTATTCACCTGTACCTGTTGAACTCGCGCGCGCGCACACCCCCGCCGTACATGGGTAAAGCCGTACGCTCGTGAATGAAATCCACGCCGCAAGGCAGCGACTGTGCCGTGACCCATGTACGTCACCCCGTATATAAGCGTTAGACACATGAAAGGGAAAACCCTCTCCCTTTTCGCAACCCGGCTCCACGCGGATCGTGGATCGATGCCATCGATCGTCGAAAGTGAGTGTCCGCAGCCACCAGCCTAACCGAACCGCCGGAGCCGCGCTGCGCGGACCTCTTCGGCGGAAGGCGGCGCGGGGGGCGGCGCCAAAGACTCCCCCGCTGGCTCCTCCGGCTCGTCCCCCTCCGTCGCCCCGCCGTCGTCGTCGGAGAGCTCGATCGGCGCCTCCTCGCAGCCAAGCCCGCCCGCCGCCACCGTGCCTGCCTGCCGGCTGAGCGCAAGGGCGCGCTGAAGCGCCTCCTCCTCCCCCCCCCTCCCAGCCGCGCCCCCCGCAACATCGGTCCCCGCCCGCTCGACGTCGGCGAGACTCGCGGCGATCGCGGCAGCGAGGTCGGGGTCGGCGCCGGCAGCGTCCGGCCGAGCGAGATCGTGCAGAGCCGCGCCCTCGCTCGGCGCCGGCTGCAAGCTTGCGGCGATCGCGGCAGCGAGGTCGGGGTCGTCT